GGCAACCAGAAATTGTTCTGCAGCAGCGTACAAAACAGGGCGAGTTGGTTAAACTTCATGATGTAAAAAACCAGCGCAGAAAACGGCACACAAACGAAAGAGGAAACAAGACACTGTGAAAGCGAAGCATCCGACTGAGACTGACTGCTCCCCACCACTGCATGCTTTTATAGCCTCGCGCCCGGATTCCAGACAGTTCTGGGGCCTTCACGTGCGTGCAGCACAGTGGAGGCTACCGACGCTTCCAGACTGGTACTTTCCGCTGAAGGTGGCGTCGCAAGCCGCGGCATCATTCCTTCTCTCTCGATCCATCTCAGTCTTTATAGGCGATGCCGGCGGCTGTTTGCAGGTGGTATGAAGATTGGCGTGCCGCCGCTCAATGTCTGACGTGTTGTCGTGCTGTCTTTAATGGTTGTTTTTTCGTTGTGCACACTTTGAAAGGGAACCCGCTGGCGGTGCGGCTGCCTTTTGTTGTTCGAAGGCAGTGCATGTGCTTTATAGAGCACTCGTTTTGTGACAGACTGTAACAACTTAAAGCAGATTTTAGCGGCGCTCCAGCGGCTTTCGTTTACAAGGCACATAGTTAGAGCCAGCATTACCGCGCGACTTTCGTTTCCGCCTTGAAGTTTCAGCAGATTTTTCCTGAAAGAAGCCCAAATTTCCCGAGTTTTACAAGATTTTCCAGACTAACCAAAATCCCTTAGATTGCCTGGTTTTCTCGGTTAGTGGACACCCTGCTGAGTGCATATCGGGTAGACTTGGCTCGGCACCCCCTCCTAATTGGTGCCCGGAACACTTGTACCCCGATGCCCCCCCCCCCCCCCTCTCTCACCTTTGTTACGCCACTGTTCGAAGGACTACAACTTCAAAGTAGGGGTGTGTAAGCATTTGAAGTTTCGAATATTTTTCTAATAGTGTTTTCAATTCCATTCAATTCGCACTCGAATTTTCCCATTCAAACTTCCCAAGGACAAATATTGTGTTTACTCGCATAATAGGCACACTTTTTTTTTTTTTTCGAAAATCCGGCTCGAAGTTAGGGGTGCGCCAATCACGCAGGGTAAAATTTTCGAAAATTTGTTGAACTCTGTTCTCGCACTTTAAATCTGCACATTTGTCAAGTAAAAGGTGACATTATGGTTTACTAATCATTCAGCATAAGACAAACATGCCTACGTACCTTTTAATTAACAAGCGAGAGCCGTCAACTACACACACACACACATAAATTTATTTACCCAAATGTGGTAGGTGTTCCTCCTTTGCCCTATTCGGATTAGGAGTCAGAGTCAGAGAGCACACATTCATCCTCACCGAGCGATTATTCATTTTCGGTGTCCGAATCATCCGCACCCCACAACATGTCATCCTGACCCGCATACAGTGCATTCAAGATAACCGTATTCTTGAAGCTTTTCCTGACAACTTCATCAGAGATCGCCTGCCATGCTTCCACGATCCAAGCACAAAGAATTTCCACAGGCAGCCTCTTAATCTCACCACCTGGAGTCAGCTAATGTTGTCCTCCAGCCATCCAGGTGGTGTATAGCCTTCGAACATTGTCCTTGAAAGGCTTATTCAAGGACATGTCCAAAGGCTCCAATATCGATGTGAGGCTGCCCGGAATCACAGCCAGATCTGTGCACGGCTCCTTTAACTCATCTCGTACGCGGTCTACCAGGTGCCCACAAAAACTGTTCACGACAAGCATCGACAGGAACAACGAACCACCTGGCCGCCGACCACCGACTGTTTTCACCCAATCCACTATGAGTTTCGCGCTCATGCAGCCTTTTTCCTCGACTCTGACGTAGATTCCTTGAAAGAAATTCGCCCTTGGGAGCGTCTTACATTTAAAAATAACGTAAGACGGTAGCTTGCACTCATTCGCTGTCACCGCCAGCATTACGGTGCATCGTTGTTTATCAGCGCCAGAGGTTCTGACGATGATGCTCCGTGCACTTTTCTTCTCCACTGTCGTGTTCCGCGGCATATAAAAGCAAAGGGGGGTCAGATCAGCGTTGCCGATTTGGGACAAAATGAAGTCTTTCTGCTGTCGAAGCTTTATAACTAAAGGGTGGAAGTCTACGACTTTGTCCTCATATGCTGCGGGCAAGCGCTGGCACAAGGTGGTCCACCTTCCCAGTGCGAGGCCATGGCGCCTCATGAAACGAGTTGTCCATCTGGAGCTGGCTTTGAACTCTTTTGCTTCGATGCACTGCGCTGGAGCTATTCTGCGCGCCTCAGTCTGCACAATATCTAATGACACAGCACAGCCGCCTTGTCGTAGTTCCTGTATATGCCGGACCAGTTGCTCTTCGACATTCGGATACCTTGCGGTCTTGGCACCGCGGAAAGCCCGTCGTGTCTTTTTCGTCGCCTTAAGTTTTTCTTCTTGATCCCTCCAGTACCGAATACTACACCGAAATGCCTACTTGCAGCCCGGTTGCCGTGCTCCAGCGAGTACTGCACTGCCTTCAGTTTAAATCCAGCCGTGTAGCTTGTGTACTTCCCCATGGTGGAACAATAGTTGAATACACAACCACAACATACGCACACCGCTTGCAAAATGGCGTTTCTTTCCTTTTCTCTGATGGTGGTGATGACGATCGAGCCCCCGGCGTTGCACACGTGACCTCTAAGGAGTGCGGCGATTTGGGGGTATCAGTAATTGCAGGAACAGCAATTTTTTTTTTTTTCGCTCAAGAACGCTTTTTTTTTCAAGTTTTATTTGGACAAACACGTTGGTTAAGTCCTTGCACTTCAAATGTTTTTTATTTGCTCGTCCATTTTTCTTTTTTTTTTTCTTCAGGGTACGGCGACCACGTTCCAACTGTACCGCTGGGGGGTAGAATCGTTTCTGATCACCGCCAAGTTCGAGGTGCGCCTATTATGAGTGGAATTTAAAAAATCGAATTTTCGGCGACCAAACTAGGGGTACGCCTATTATGCGAGTGCACCGATTATGCGAGTAAATACGGTACAGTCAATGCCCGATCGAAAGTGAGCCTTTCAGATTTTTTATAAGCCTCACCTTATTACTCTCGTAGTGCTGCAAAGCTGTCTTTCAGGCTCCACTAGAGTCAAAATTTCAAAGACAAATGCGGTCATAATCCATCAAAAGCGGCACCTTCAGATTATCAAATGCTTCACCTTATCACTCTCATATTGTGACAAAGCTGCCTTTCACGCTCCACTACAGTTGTAATGTATTGCCCGCCCACCTGCATGTTTGCTTGTGTGCCCGCCCACCCGTCTGTCTGTAGGCTTGTCCTTTTTACTAGTCAGCAACTTCAACGTTGACATTATGGACCTCAGGACCTAGCTCTATCATCAGCATTCACTATGTGGATTGGCTGCCAATTAAAAAAAATTATCCTCCTCGGGTTAACAAGAGTTGCACAGGGCACTTTTTTTTTTCTGCAATTTCACTTCGATGTATTAAAGGAATATGTAGAAGTATTCCAGAAATATATAAAAAATATTAGATTCGATTTGCCTTCAATATTCAAATTTGCTTTGCACTTCCAATTTCGCTGTCAGCACAGCTCTACTTCAAAGTCCAAAAGTCTACCATGTGCTTTCTCTCCAGACTGCCAATAACATCACCTGAATGAAATCGCCCCCTGCCTCCATCATTCAAAACAGCCATGTTGAATTTGTAACACAACTCATGGCACTGAGAATAAATAAATAAATAGTATGCAGAACCTACTTCATATTCAAATACGTACTGAAGTTTAAAGCTTCGACATCTGGTTTGGTCTGAGGTTGGCTCTTTAGTTGGTTTTTTAGACAAATTTATAGCTAAAGATGCAAAGGCCATCAACTTATAAATGAAACTGGTTTATGATAAGCTCTGCAATGTCATAAAATGCATCACATGTTTTTAAAAATAATCATCAACATGTTCAGAATAACATAAATAAAACTCTATCTTCTGAAGCCCAAAGCGATGTCACATCAGAATGACACTTTGAAGCCTTAGAACACTATAACTGGCATGTGGATTGGTGTAGCAGGGTACTTGGGCAATGCAGGCACAGGCACTAGTCAACATGACTCATGAGGTGCTCAGGAAACGCTGCATTTATAAAACCCAGTGCTGGCCCTTTCTTGAGAAAATAGTGCCGAAGGCAACAATGTGATAGCTACATTAGCTACATTGCCCTTGAGAAAGAACAAAGCCAATGACTATCTTGCAACAAGGGTTGCAACTTCGATATGGCAGAGAAATATTTGTCATGATCTGGTTTCTACAAAATTCTTCGTTTTTTACCTTTGACTTCTGAAGGTTCACTTAGGAAGGGGGGGGGGGGGGGGGGGGCTTGTAAACATAGCTGATTGACAGACACACCGCAGCATACACTACCCATCATTGGCATAGCCGGTGTGGAGGGTTCAAAATCCCTGACCCACGAAAATTTTCAACTTTGCATGCACATAATATACACATGCACAAGCATACATATAACTTAGTTGGACCTTCATGTATGAATAAAATGTTTGGCTATGCCTTTGCTGTGCATGTTTCAGCTCAGCATAGCAATTTAGTTCAGAAAAGCCTTCACCCCACACAGCATACACAAAAACAAGCACAAGCTTTGCAAGAAAGAAACGTACGATGTAATATACACTCAAGTTTTATTGTTTACTTGCAAAGAAGTAAAGGACCAACTGTATGAATGTACTTCAACTACACTGGCACCCAAGAAGAGTTGCAACGAACTGCTGTTAGCTGATGGGGTCCCAAGCCTGCCCTGTAACACGGGCAAATGTGAAATTGATTTTGCAAAAACTAGTAGCCAAAACAGTATTTACAAAGTGATTGCTTTCTGTGTCAAATGCCACCATGAAGTGTTTGTGCCAGTTTGACCACTGGCAGCATGTTGCAACTCATATTGGGCACAACTGTACACACAACACATGTGCATGCCCATGTACATAAAAGGAGTGTAAAGTAACAGACGAAAAATCATATATAATACAAAAAAACTCACTCATCAGAAGCTGGTTCTTGTGCTTCTGTTGTGCAAACTCCTTGCATCCTGCGAAAAAAAAAAATAGGTATCCACATTTCCTATGGTAGCTTGTAAATGCACAAAAGTTAAAGCACTACTTCATTGAACTGGTGATGAAAACACACAATGATGAGTCAACTTTTTGTAAAAATGACTAGCTTTTCATCATCATCATCAGCCTGACTACGTCCACTGCAGGACAAAGGCCTCTCCCATGTTCCGCCAGTTAACCCGGTCCTGTGCTTGCTGCTGCCAATTGATACCCGCAAACTTCTTAATCTCATCTGCCCACCTAACCTTCTGTCTCCCCCAACCCGCTTACCCGCTTGCCTTCTCTGGGAATCCAGTTAGTTACCCTTAATGACCAGCGGTTATCCTGTCTATGCGCTACATGCCCGACTCATGTCCATTTCTTCTTCTTTATTTCAGCTATGATATCCTTAACTAGCTTTTTTAGGAACTGATAAAGCTACACGAACAATTGTTGGCAAATAAACACAAAACCTAGCATATATGCTTACCAGATTATTTTTCTGCATTCAGTTGTGTTGTGGCATGTTTTTTGCACCACATTGATATGGTTTCTTTAAAATGTTCTATGTTTGCAATTCTAACCCCTATCTAAAACAACACCAACCAGAAGCGTTAAGAGTAATCTAAGGGCAAACAACATAGCTTTCATATGAGAGAACAGAAAAATTGTGAAATGTGTACAAAAAAAATTTTGAAAAAGAAAAGCCTAAGAAATCAACATAACTACAAGCTCATAAATGATCTATTTTGCTGATGCATGTTACAAAGTAATACTACTACATGTCTCGTGTTTCAATAGCCATGCCTGGTATATTCTGACACACACTATAACATGTGGACCAGGCACATACAGTCAAACACGGTTATACAGAACCCACATATATCGAATTTCCGGGTATATCAAACTCGTAAGTTATCCCCTTGAAATTCCTTTGTAGAAGTATAGAAATTCGCACGATTATATACAACAGTATTTTTACCCACCTACGAGCTGGAAGGTGCACTTTGGCACTCGTCCCCTCCTCTTCGCGATCTCCGCGTGCGAGTTGGAAGGTGCGCTTTGGCACACGCAGCGCCCGGCAACGTCTGTGCGGCACCACGCCTCCGCCGAAACCCGAAACGCTCAAAAAAAGGTAAGGGCGAGAGGGCTCAGACTGCACATTCTCCAACTTGAGAAATCACTTTTTTTCGTTTTTCTTTCTCTCTCTCATGTTTTCTCTGCATACCTGTCGGCTCGGACAGCAGGCACGAAGGAGCCACTGTCCTCCTCCTTTCGCTTTTCCTTTTTATTTTTTTTGTTGCTGTTTTGCGAGTTTTGATCAGCCAACCACAGCTCGCGCCTTTTGCTATTGCCCTCGCAAGTTGGCATCGCCTCACGAGCACTTTGTTGCTTCCGCTGTCGCGCCGCCTACGTACCACCGCATGTGCAGCATTTCTCTTTAGCGTGCGTGGTGTGCACAGCCGCTGCGCTTGAATTGTCGACTTCTCATGTAGCTCTGGCCAGCATCAAGAAGCGCGAGACCCTTGACTTTGCGATAAAGTTGAAGGCTATTCAGCGTATTGAGGCGGGCGAGAAATGTTCGACCGTCGCGGATGACTTTGGGATACCACAGAGCACTCCGAGTACTTTGTTGAAAAACAAGGCAGATATCAAGGCAAAGGCGGCGAAGCAGCAAACGTTGGGAGCCTGTCATATGCACGCTTCTGCCCATGGGAATGTAGAAAAGGCACTCTATGGCTAGTTTTTAGAAGTGCGCGTGAAGAACATTCTGGTGGATGGCCCGATGCTGATCACCAAGGCCAAATGGTTTGCTGCTGCACTCGGTGAAACAACTTCGCTGACAATAGCAGGTGGCTTCACTGATTTAAGCAGCGCTACAACATCGTTGGCAAAACCAATTATGGCAAAAGCGAAGCTGTCAGCAGCCAAGACACCCAGCAGTAGATGACAAAAAAGTGGCTGGTAATCTTCGCCAAGTTTTCTCCCGCGGAGATCTTCAATGCCTGGCGAAACGTGAAGACGGGCTCAGTGCTCAAGTGCTTCCGAGAGGCAGGCTTTGAGACGGCGAAGACGTCGACAATGAGCACATAGACGACGCGTTTCACGAGTTTTCGTCCCGCTTCCCGGCAGCAGTTCCACACGAAGTGTCTGCAGACGACTTCGTGGAAGGGGACTGCAATGTCCAGGCTGACAGCTCATGTGACGAGGAGGATCGTACAGATGAGGCGTTGCCTACACGCGCGTACTCTGCCGCTAAAGTGGCGGCAGCGTTCGGCATCATTCGCTGTTGTATCGGCCACATGGAGAGAACCGGGCTGTCGCACCTGGACAGCCTTTATAAGATCGAGACTAGCATCTTCAACACTTCAAAAACGAAGAAGCAGGTTAAGCTTAGTGATTTTTTTCACGAAAATAAATCATTCCGTTGTGGCGTGCATGCGGAATTAGTTGTCATTCTTGAATGCGCCTATTGCAGGTGATGATCCGCTACAGGTATGCTCTCGGGGCCTCAATTTTTTTGTATCGAATTTTTTCATATATCGAACTAATTCGCGATCCCTTTCAAGTTCGATATATCCGTGTTCGACTGTATACAGTAGACTCTCAGTAAATTGAAATCTGTTGAATGAAGCTGCTGCTTAAATGAAACAATTGCCTCTGGGTATAATTGGTTCCATTTTTGCATGCTGCACCCTTGATGATCTCTCAGTAAATATAACTCCCGTTAATTGGAACACATTTTCTTAGCCACTTGAGGTCAGGTACCGTTTAATGAAAGTCTACTGTAATAACAATTGTTTGGATTTAACATCCCAGAACCACAATATAATTATGAGATGCCGTAGCAAAGGGCTCTGGAAAATTTTTGACCACCTGGGGTTCTTTAATGTGTGCCTACATCTATGTACATAAGCTTCAAGTATTTTCCCCTCCACTAAAAATGTGGCCACTGCCACTGGGATTCAACCTCATTACAGTCGAACTCTGCTACAATGAATCTGACGGGGCGCGGAAAAATTTTTGTTGAAGTAAAATTTCGTTCCAGTGAAATCGAAAAATATAGCCGATCTGAGCTAGCAAAACAAAAGAATGTTTATTCTCAAAATTCAAAAAATGTCCGCTGCTTCTTATTCTTTCCCAGCAGCGTCACGATGTGATTGTCACCCATCTATGGCGAGGCCATGATGAAAAGCGCGCTGAAACAACGCCTAAAACCGCTTTAGTGAACGAACCAAATAGTTGCATTAACATGTTAACACCAGCAGCTGTCCGCCGTCAAAAGTATCAGACAACGCCGAGATGGAGACAGGGTATCGTGAAGCCGCAACTTTTGCATTATTCTACGCCATTCTTCTTATCCATCACTTACAGCTATCTGATTTTGTTGATAATGCGGACGAACAAGCGCTCTGATTAGTTACCACACTGGCCAAGCTCGAACATAATGATAAGCATCGGAATTGGAAAAGGCATCGTTCCGCGGTCGCACCCAGAAGCTGCGTGAAGGAAACCTTAACCTGAGTGACTGAGCTTCAGCTTCGGATCATCCGCGGCTCAAAAGCAAGCTAGTGGCAAAAGCCGGGCAGTCTCATTGCCATCGTAATTGAGCAATGGTGGCGCCCATGCTTGCTGAACAGCGGTGGTATAGCGGCGGTTTTTGGTGGTATCAACACGTGTTTTAGACATCGTTGACACATTTTCAGGCTCTGAAAATGCATCGAAATGTTAAAGGTTGGTTGTACTGCATAGCAATAAGTATTTGAGCCTGAAATTGCATCCTAAAATTTTGTTGAAGTGGGACGATCGCAGAAAAAGTGTTCGTTGAGGCGACAAAATTTATGCATTGACTCCTATGGGCTGCTGACGGGGAATCATGAATTTTTCGTAGTAGCGGCGTTTGTTGTAGCAAAGTTCAACTGTACCTTCAGGTCAGCAGTTGATCAAGAAGACAGACAGCACCTCAGGGTCAATGCAATGCGTATATTTCTGTTTGATGAAAACGTCTGAAGCTACAGCAGTGCACACTTTTTCCCTGCACTGATGCCCTGAACCATACTCCTGCTCACAAGCTACAAAAAATTGTGCAGTGTTGAAGAATAAAATATTTCAAGACTTACACGCAGTCCAATCAGGTCATTAATTGTGTGGAAAAATGAAAAGACCGCAACACATAGTGATAAAATTATTTATGCTGATCACAACTAAAATAAAATTACGATTTTAAATTGTCACAGAAAGCTACAAGAAATAGAAATGTGTGACAGAGGCATTCAAAGTACTGAAGGTAGTCAGCCATCATTCAGTGCTACAATACTTACAGCATAGAACTTCATTCTTCATATTTACATAGGTAAGCATATATGCTCTATGCTATATATTTTAAATGGCAAAAAATGTTCACATTAAGAAGCACTGCTGCCTTTTGGGTGAGTGGAGCAGTAGACCTGGAATGAGACTTGGGATGAGTCGTGGCATTCGTCATTGCATATCAGGGTACTTGGGTGATCTTGCTTAGTGAACAGTGAGTGATTTTATTAAGTAAATTTAGTAGGTATGCAAAGCTGTGGAATCTTTATATACAATAGAGAGGGAAGATTAAAAAATTCATCCTAAGAATTTTCCACAGCATTTTCCCTACTAATATGGGATGATTAAATATTCTCACTCATACGTTTCCCATTATACTACAACAAAAAAAAAGAGAGCAACAGACGGGATACCAGAAAAAAATGGGATACCAGAAAAATTGGTTGTCAGTCTCTTTAATATTTCAGTAACTTCACAATGCTATAACAAACTTTTCATTGAAATCAGTATGGTACAAACAAAATGATTATTAAATCCCTTTCAATATAGAGACACACATCCACATATAAAAATTCTTTCAGTAAAATAATGGCCATACAGATGCACTAAAGCTGTACATGCCCACAAACTAAAAGTAAGAAGCAGTACAACTATAGCCATAGTTGTTTTGAAGCCATTGTAGAAAGAACTGATTGTTGATTAAGCTAATGCTAAGGAGAGCACATGCAAAAGCCTACGCCCTCACGTTTGATTCACTTTTAATTAAATACATTTCATCAACTTTAATTCATTTTAAATTACTAGTATTCGATTCACAGTAAATTCACAATAGGTACAGCTCTAATTAACCTTTCACCAGAGCTTAACCTTATGAGCTTAAAGGTCACTTCCAATCAATTGGCATACACTTTCTCCATCAATTAACTTTTACTGAAATTTCATTCACCTTCAGGTAACTTTCTCACCTTGAAAAAGTGGGCATGTGCCACACAAGACTTCTGGCACCATTTGTGTTGTCAGTACTGGGTGGCTGATTTTTTTTTTACACGAGCCATACAAGGCTGACATCTCAATAACTACAAGATGTGCTTTGATGACAGAGATGCAATGCCTGTGCCCTCAATATCTATAAAGCACTATTAAAAGCCAACGGGACCAACCTTGAACCAGGAGTATAGTCATAGCAGGCCACATGTAACAGCAATGCGCCAGCAGCCATAGCATACACAGTGTCTGTGCTTATGGTTTCAGTCAACGTGCCCATTATGGGTGCCAAAGATGACCCAAATGCCACAAATATAGCTGCTCTGCGAAGGTCTTCCACCACTGCAGCACAGAAGCAGTTCTTTGAAACAAGATCACAACAGGTTTGAAAATATGCATGCGCACACCAACACTGCCAATGGGTACCAAATGCCCAAAAATAAAATAGGGCACACACCCTTTGTGTACAATGTACATCTGATTAAACAATGTGCAAAGATAGAACAACTGCTCTTTGCTCAGCCTGTAATGAAATTAAAAAAAAGAAAAGGTAACGTCTAGAGGTGGTCAAAGCAGCTAAGTGCGTCAAGTTTACAAAAAAAAAAAAAAAAGAAACAGAGAAGTCTTCTATAAACATGGATCAGTGCACATGCTTAATAGCCATGCCAACACACCCTAAATAAGCTTGTCTAGAAGTATTGATCATGTCGAAGATCGGCTACTATTTATGCTTTTGTGTACTTCTTAATGTGCTAATTAAGAATGATTATTCAGTTAACTTTCTGAGCATTTATTTCTTGATGACATTTATGTAATATTTCAATCAAGCTCAAGGCTGTCTATAAAATCAGCTGACTTAGGCTATTCAAGAATGCAAAGCCAGAAAAACACTTATATTCCATAGAAAATATTAAAAGCTATTTGGTTGCTCAAAACCACTGCTCAGAATTTCGGCATGTATTCTATATAGAGATACTGAGAGCTGAGATTCTGATGCTTTATGGATACAGAAGAAAAATCTGCACCATGTGCAACAGGATATGTTGGTGGCGCTTATTTATAAAGCATGCATTCAAGTGATGGCAGCCACTATTTTTTGGCAATTATTATATACAGTTGACAATGGCAGGGTGAATTAATATACCATATTTTCCCGCGTATAACCCGTACCAAGAACCCAAAAATTTCAGTGGCAAAGTGGAGGTGCAGATAATATGCGGGGTTTTTTCTATAGCGCTGCTTCACAGCAATCCATGTTGTGCTGTGAAGCCCCTTAACAGTGTAGCGAAGGCTACGGAGGTGGTTTTCGCAAATTCGTGTTGCTCCGCAAGTAGCACAGCAGCTTGCGGCCGATTTTGGTTTCGCATGCTTGCATCGTTGAAGCGTTTAGAAAAACATTTGGCGAGACAATTCGATTGTTCAGTGTAAAATCTCACTGTCACACCACAAGTATATTTTTTGGATGTTCGCGGCCGCTCAGTGACCCTCCACATGTCCCTACGTCACGGACGCCATGTTTACTTTTGGAAAGAGCTTGCTGAAAAGGTGGTGCTGTCTAAGAAAGTTCCATAATAAATAAAGTAAGTTTCATAATGAATAAAGCAGTATTTATTTCAGCAAGGCAAATGAGATGTTATAGTGGCTATAGAGATATTATCAATAAATTAATGTACTACTTTTTGACGCGGTAGCAGGCATGCATTTTGGTTATGTTGTTTCCGGGGTGCTGTTACAGTGTACTAGAAGGGGTAGTGCTGTCAAGTTGTCGCCGAGTGTGAGCGCTCTTTACCTCGCTGATACCGCTAGTTCTCCACATCTCGACCCGTTCGCCAAGCCTAAGTCGATCTGTTCTGTCACCATGAGTAGCGTACGGCGGCAGGCCTTCACGGCACAGCAAAAGCTTAAGATCATTGCCGTCGCCGAGGAATTTGGAAATCGCGAAGCGGGAAGACGGCACAATGTGGACGAGTCCTGCGTGCGACTGTGGAGAAAGAAGAAAGAGAGCCTACAAGCCGCGCACCGCGACCGTAGGTCATTTCGTGGCCCCAATACCAGTGTCTACCCTGAGCTGGAGGCGGAGCTAGTAAAGTTCATCGAAGATGTGAGAAGCAGGGGTCATGCCGTATGGGCCGAGATGGCCCAAGTGGAAGCGTGGCGACTTTCGAGGGAGCTAGGCCTACCTCACGAGTTCCGTGCGAGCCGCAGATGGCTGCACCACTTTATGAAGCGGCAAGGGCTCTCAATCAGACGGTGGACTACAATATGTCAACGCTTGCCGGCTTCTTATGAGGCGAAGCTGCTCAAGTACCAGAGATATGTAATTGGCCTGCAAAAGCAGCACAATTACATTTTCTCGCAAATTGGCAATGTGGATGAAACTCCTGTTTATTTTGAAATGCCGTTGGACACAACGATTGAGAAGATGGGCAGCAGTTCGGTGAGTGTGCTGACTGGCGGGAACACGAAACTGCGCATCACAGTCTTGCTTTGTGCCCTCGCCGACGGCATGCAACTGCGACCATACGTCATCTTGAAAAGGAAAACTCTACCAAAGGTTCATTTGCCTGCCGGTGTGGTGGTGCGCGCACACGAGAACCCGTCGATGAACAGTGACTTGTTCGTAGACTGGACAAAGACGGTATGGGAGAAGAGGCTGGATGCGATGCTCGCAAAGAGGTCTATGCTCGTTCTTGACTCGTTCCACAGCCACACAACTGAGGAAGTGAAGGACCGCCTTTCACGCAACGACACCGACTTAGTTGTTATACCCGGTGGAATGACGTCAATGTTGCAGCCTCTAGATGTGTCGCTTAACAAGCCCTTCAAAGCGCTTGTCAAGCGCTATTACACCGAGTGGATGGCCGAAGGCTGCTACGACTTGACGCCGACAGGACGAGTCCGAAGGCCTGATATTGCCCTATTCTGCAAGTGCATTGTCGAGGCATGGAAAGCCATTCCTGGTGAGATGGTGCGAAAAAGTTTCAAGAAATGCTGCATCACAAATAACATGGATGGAACGAAGATGACCTTGTGCATAATAGTGAGGACTGTGGCTCAAGTGATAGCTCTAGCGAGAGCAGCGACAGTGAGTGAATTGTGACTGGCCTTGCATACAGCGTATTCTGCTTGCTAAATAAAGCTTTTTCTGTCTACATATGTGCTATGTTGCTTGAGCAGTAGCTTTTGTACAGACTTTCCTGTATATCAAATGTGCGAAAATACGCAAGGATTTTTTTTTTCTTTCTCAGTGAGCTGAAAGTGGGGGTGCGGATTATATGCAGGGGCGGGTTATACGCACAAAAATACGGTATTTAAACAAGCAATGCACAAAAATTTAAACCGACAAGTTCATCAGACTCTGTTCTTTTTTCTAAATAAATTTTAATTGACACTGAACACAAAAGAAAATTTGCTAATCTATACAAATCAATACTGCGGTCACAAATCTGATATAGACATTGGTCATTGTACAACAAATACTAAATGTTTTCGTATATGCTATAAAAGCATAAAGTAAACGTAGCATGTTATTTCAGCTTTCCTTCAGGAGCCTTTTTCATGGTCACAAAAAAAGGCCTATAAAAAAGAGTAGAATTTTACAGGACAGGCAAAGGCAACGTAAAACTTTCAAAGTTAATGCACCAGCCAATTATTTCTTAATTTTAATCATCACATTTAGATTAGATACTTACTATTGGAGTTTCACACCATAACTATCTCAACAATTCAATTGGTTGCACCTTCAAAGTGCTTTGGTTGGTTTATGCATTGATATGCTTCCGAGATAAATAAATTTAAGAACAAAAAAAAAATCAGCTAATGCACTGAGCACAAGTAGCACAGAAAGTTGAAAAACTTGACTGAACGACAGCGAATGAATAATTATTATAACACAAGGAGAGAAGTGAAACCTAATGGCTCATTTTTCATCATTAGACACAACATTATTGAGAACTAACAGATAATATAGCCAATAAAAGAGGGGATGTCAGTAGTAGTAATTGTAATGTAAAAGTGAAAAAAGAAAAAATGGAACAAAAGATGACTTACCACTGGCAGGGACCAAACCTGCGACCTTGGCTACAGCAGCAGTCATCTATGCGTCCACTTTATGGGGCATAAACTACGGGAGTGCTAGTCAGCGCTGCCTTTGGCGTCATGTAGAACATGATCTTATTACAAGCTGGCAGGCCGACCAATAATCCCTGGCATACTACATGAAGGCACCAGGGCTGCCAGAACAAGATGCCAACAGGCAGAAAAAACAGTGTTCCATACTTGATGTCATGGCTATTAGCGGTGCTGACTAACACTTCCAGGATAAAGTGCACATACCTATATACTCCCTGAAGTGGACAGGGAGATGACAGCCGCTGCAGCTCAGTTGGTAAAGCCTCAGACGCATTATTCAGAGGCTGCAGGTTGGATCTCTGCCAGAGACAACATAGGCAAATTATGTATCCGTCCACTTCGCTTTATTCACATTTACATTACAATTACTACTACTAACATCTCCTATAATTTCCTTGGCATTATTGTTAGTTAATTCTTATTAATACTCAATATAATACTAGTAACTATTGCTTTTTTTTCCCTCTAAATGCTCATGCTTCATATATGAGAACGAATACCACAAATACATGTTTTATATTCAGTAATAGAGGTTGATTATTCAAATACAAGTGCATACTGCATGCAAAAAACTAACATCAGAGGAAAAGCTTTTGTTACTTTCATCAATTTTCCTTTTCTGCGCAAATGCATAGAGCAAGTATATTGGCCAGCCAAGTAAGGCGAGCCCAACAAAAAGGTCTGAGGGATGCAGCAGGCCTCCCTGCAGGTGGCTGAACAGCACAGCAAACAGGACTGTTCTGCATGAAAACAATCCTCCATAAGAACCACACAATGCTGTGAAAAGGGCTGCCTTTACACACTGCTGACATGGCAAATAAGTCTGCTTGACTGCTAGACATTGCTGCCATAATGCTGGATATAAGCATACAGTGATAAATCAGCTAGTGCTCGACAGCAGAAATACAAGAGAGACAAGCCACTCGTGCTTCAAGCCCTCCCTTCCCCCCTCTCTCCAATGAACACTGGATTGTCAGGGCATTAAATATGAATTGGAACATGTGCCAGAAGCTTATAGCTCTCCCGGATAGGTATGAATGTATTTAAAATCTTGCTTTACAGAAGCACACATACCCTATAAACGAATATCATGGATGCTTTTCTACATAGAACAACAATTCAATAATATTGCAGTTATTATGCTACTAGACACTTGCATTATGCAGCAAACTTTTGGCTTTGTTTCCTTAACACAGCATAGTAATGTACGGTATTCTGTATTCCATCATGTTTCCCTGTTCAATCTTGTTCTGCTATACATTGTGCAAGTGCTCTGGCTGGATAATGTTGCATTATCATGATTTATAATTTAAACATGTTTAGTATTTTCGTTTATAGCACACACTTACATGATAAACCTGGGAAGAGTTGCATCCTCAAGCTTATTTTGCTCAATTATCCAACAAGGGGTACTGAATTAGTGCTGAGAAGTCTACTCTCAAGTCAAAATGTTGACCAAAAGATGCGTATCCTTGGAAGATGCGTTTGTCATACATAAGTTTTTCTTTTATTTTAACCATATGCAAGCAACAGGCCAACTGTTCGCTCTGCCTTCCTTTCCAAATAGTGCTCAATCGGGGTATACCTTTGTGCTGAATATTCCAACTCCAGAATGCGAAATTTACCTCGTATGGTAGCTTAGCAAGAGAGGTGTTGCAGTGCTAAGCTCACGGACATTGGTTTGATTTTTAGCCATGGTAACAGGGTTACGATGGTGTGAAATGCAACACTTGTGTACTTTCATTTAGAAGAACTTGAAAAAAAAAATCTCAGGAGGTCAAAAGTGATGTGAAGAACCCTGCTATGGTGTGCTTGTGGTTTTATCATGTAAAATGCTAGAGTTAAATATTAGTACAAAGCTTGCAGCATCTGTTCACAAGTCTGGGAACACAAGCAAGCCTTGTAAAGAAATCTAAGAGAACAAAGTTGCCTTAGGATATGGTTATTTTCAAGTTTGTAATATAAATGTATGCTGTAAGTATACATTATAAAACCATGACACAATTCTGATTAATTTTTCACAGATGGTGTGCCCACTGAGAAGTTTGAAGCCAAAGCAAAGGGCCACTATGTCCATATGGGTATAGAAAGCTGAGATCTCAGAAGCCTCTCATGTAATAATTAGTATGTTATTTTGCAACATAGACCCATCAACATGGCTCAACATTATAGATGGAATTATATGATGCACCATATGTATTTTGGCTATGAAGGGGAGCAACGAAAGAAGTCTCTACGGTATATGTATCATTGCCTGCTATGAGTAAAAAAAAAAAAGAAAGAACCTAATAACTATTTTATATGAATAAAATAAAAAATAGAACTATTCTATTGTACAAGTAATATTGCAATGTCAAAGCTTGCCATAGCAAGACCACATTGTGCCCTTCATACAGAAGCACAAGTTATTAGTATGTAATGTTTTATCATTGTGACAAAAAGACGTGGGAACAATAACACAAGTACACCCTGCTTTCTACTTTAAAAGATTACCTCGCTTGTCTTGTGACAGAACATGCCCCTTTCATGATAACCAATCCTTTGACGTTACACACAATGAGGTTTGGAAGGTGGCTACACATCAACAACAAAACCACCAAAAATAAACAGAATAATGCAACACAAACTTAGGCATTAGGAATTTATAACTACCATAATAAAGATGCCTACCGGCAAATTTGCTGCACCACGCCAGTGACACCATAGAGTGCTTCCGTAAAGGTGAAATGGACCAGGTTTACTGCAACAGATGCAATGTTGCACACAAGATGCACTGGTAAGGCTGTTCTAAAATGAATTTAGTAATAGCTAGTTATTAGTTGAATGTTCATGAGATATGCTATCAATACTTCATACAAAAATAATTAGTGTTTCACAATATTATGAAATGAAAGCAAAATACTAATTCACGAAAGCTGTTATTCACTACTACTGCTGCAGGTTGGTTTTGCATGAAGCCATGAGGTCGCAACAGTGAAATGCAAAGTTTTGAAAGCACATCCCCGCTCATTTCATAAAGCCAAATTTGCATGAGGCAGAAGCAATAAATGACAATAACAAGGTACTGCATGTCAGTATTAATCCTCAGGTTCAACAGAAAGGATTCAACACATCACAGTAACATTGCATGACAGTGTGTCTATAATCTGTATTTCTATCGGTTATTCCACATGGCTATGACGGATTGTGCAAACAGTAATCATGTGCAGGGTCAAATGAATTTATTTGTGTGTCGCACTTTTGTACAGGTTCCGCACAAAGAATAGGTATCTAAGCCAGGATCAAACTAGCGAACATGTGAGCCAAACATCTGTTACGCAGGCTAACAGATAATATTTACACTGGACACCGCCAAATGGCACCAGTTTTCGGTTAGGCTGATCTGCAGTGTCCAGAAACACTTGAGGCACTGTTCTTTATTGGATGGGGTAGCATGTAGATAGGTGAGGCAAGTTAACTCGATTTCCCTGAAGAATGGGCAGATTAACCACTTTGGGCAATGAATTGGATGGTATTCAATAAAAGTAATTGTGCATGGACTTGCCAACCAAATGGCTTGAATACACTATGTGTACAAGTGAATAATGCTGTAAGCAGCACTTTTTTGTCTTCATTGAAATAAAAGTGATTTCGTCATCTTCACACAGCAATATTAAAAACCTAACACAGTTATTTACACTGGACACCGCCAAATGGCACCAGTTTTCGGTTAGGCTGATCTGCAGTGTCCAGAAACACTTCAGGCACTGTTCTTTATTGGATGGGGTAGCATGTAGATAGGTGAGGCAAGTTAACTCGATTTCCCTGAAGAATGGGCAGATTAACCACTTTGGGCAATGAATCGGATGGTATTCAATAAAAGTAATTGTGCATGGACTTGCCAACCCAATGGCTTGAATACACTATGTGTACAAGTGAATAATGCTGTAAGCAGCACTTTTTTGTCTTCATTGAAATAAAAGTGATTTCGTCATCTTTAACAGCAATATTAAAAATCTAACACAGTTATCTGTAACAGGAATATGGAACAAGACAAGACTTTTCACAAGTTAAAATACCAGGTCAAGGTTCACATAGCGTCTCAAGGTTCTCATAGTGAGACAAACAATGAAACATATAATGAGAACTCTCGAGAGGAGAATGTGCCTTACAAGCCATGCTGTCTGTTGCTACATGCTGTACGTTCCTTAAAAAATCCCTGACACAAAAATTTTGCATCCAGTTCTTTTTTTTGCAGCAGGTAGCTAATGACTGACTTATCATGGCTGGAGAGCATGTTTTCTGGAGCGTGCAACGGAATGAATTATTTGAAGGCTATTTAATAGTGGTAATTTAAATCGGTTTCAAAGAGAGCAGCGTGAGGTGGGACCCAGAGCGGTTTTCATGTAAACATAGCTCATTACGTGAACTCACAACACCACATGCATACAAGTACCCAATTGGCAACTTTCTTTCATGAAGGCTTCCTGGGTGCTACTATAATCCCCTCTGAGGCATTGTAAATGTGCGTGACCCCCCCCCTAAAATGCACTGCCGAGGCAAGAACATCAGCCTTTGTACTCCCAGGCAAGTCCAAGCTGTCTTTCCATTGGGAAGGTCTGCTAGGAGAAAGCATTCACCAGGACTGTGGCAGCCAACACAAACTTGTGCCGCAGGGGATGGCTGTTTGTTTACATGAAAGCCAAAGACACGTTTCGTATGCAGCGGCACGACACGCACATTACAGTTAATCTAAATTATGTACTAGGCTATATTATCTGTTGATACTTCGTTGATGATGCCTGTGTATCCACACAAATCTATCATACAAGTTATCTTGCCTTCTAAATATACTAATTCCACTTGTGTCTGTACTTCTTTAAGAGTGCGGGTGATTATCTCAGCAAGGTCTAGTAGGCTCCAGGAGTCCTTTCAGCAGTATGGGAGCACTCTTAAAGGAGCCCTGCAACAATTTTTGAACAAGGTCAGAAAACGCTGCCTATCGGTAGTAGAGGCTCCCGACAACACGCGAGCCAAATATTATAGCGCAGCCCATGGCCTGGAATTCACAATAAATTATCAAAGCCAGCTAAAAGTTGCTTTCTCTTCTCTCGACAAGTCACGCAATATGCCCAAAAATCACACATGAATGACCCATCTATCAGCCATTGGCTGATTTAAACATGGCGCGCTCGCTCGTTACAGAGATCGCCGCGGGAGGCCGCTACTTTTCCACACGTGCCCGCACGATCACACTGAAAAAGCCGCGCATTCGAAGAAAAAGAAAAAAGTGCTCAGGGTCACGAGGCGTGCGTTATGTTTTTCTGTGGCCCAGCCATCCCTCCCTGCTTAGCTTCCAGAGCTTTCATCGAGACGAGAGAAGAGAGAATGCAATCGCAGCATGCGACAAACCTTTGTAACTCCACTCACACTGGACGGATTTTTAAAATTTTTGCGGCATTGAATTCGTGAGGCAATAAGCTCTTCCAGTCAATTCATTCTATGGTTACTTGAAACCTGCCGCGGTTGTCTAGTGACTAAGGTACTCGGCTGCTGACCCGCAGGTCGCGAAATCGAATCTTGGCTGCGGTGGCTGCATTACTGATGGAGGCGGAAATGGTGTAGGCCCGTGTGCTGTGGTGTGGTGTAGGCCGTGCATGGTAAAAAACTCCAGGTGGTCAAAATTTCCGGAGCCCTCCACTACGGCGTCTCTCATAATCATATCGTGGTCTTGGGACGTTAAACCCTACATATCAATCAAATCAATGGAATGGGTACTTGAAAAAGTGTTTCAGGGCCCCTTAAATGTTTTACATGAGTACCAAGATGTTATTTTTTAGAATTGTAGTTCCTGTAACGTATTTAGGGGTCAAAGGCTCATTACTGACATTTATGATACCTAAGTTGAGTAAAATAATTAAGAAGTTACATATTCTTGTAATGAGAAAATTTAACCCCTTTATTATAGGAAACTATGAGCTTATAACATGACAAATATAATGTATCAGAATAAAGTAACAAATTGTAAAAAAAACTGGGGGACCCTTAAGCTTCCCCTTTAAGAGTTCAACGCGATAGCGAAATCAGGCTCCTAGTGCGCCCTTCAACCGCAAAGTGCATACTTATTAATATGTTTTGTGACACACAAACAGACACACACACACGTGCACGCACACGAATGGTACAAACAGGTTTCTGATCTAAAGCAAGAGTCGCATGACCTCCAAGATACACGCCGCGCGCTTGCCATTTAGGAGGCCATAAAGAGTCTCACAATGCCTCCCAGATGGCAGCACATTATCTAGCGTTTTCTGTGACACGTGCTCTCTAACCCTATCACGTTAACATAAAGCTTTTAGATGAAAACAGCTTTTGCTCGAGGCTGTATCCATCCCTCGGCAACCATCCGGTGCCCCACTGTGCATGTGCCAACTCTCACCCTCTCCTTGCGTGAGCGCAAGGAGGTGGTAGGAGGTCGGGTGGTAGATGTGGCAGAGTGCTGCTTTTGCGTTGTTTATTTTCTCCCGTTTATCTCTCAGTCACAGCTGTGTGCTCGTATATAATGCTGCATGCGCTCGCTCTGTTGCACTCTCCTAGCAGCACTGGGTGTTCACTTTGCGGCACACACACGGTAATACACACAAATGCGAGGCAGGATGTCATAAACGGTACACAATTCTACACACAAATGAAACATACATGGAAACATACAAACGGGAACAACAAATGGAAATACAAGTGAACATCAATGCTGCTTTACATCCCTACATGGCTCTCTTTAGAGGGAGATCTTTAACAGTGCCAGAAAGTGAGCAATGACTTAATTAAAATGTTCTGCTAGCATCCTTCAAGCATATCTATTTTGCACTGTCAGTACAACTGCATTTGGCAGTAAAACAAACCAAATTGTACTAAATCTCACCCCTCACCGTTTTTACGCAGCTGGCCCAGAAATGACTGGTCCACATAATTGTCCGGAACACTCTGGTCGTCATATAGCACTTTCTTCCAACTTTGTTCTGGTGCTTCCATCCTCATTGCTGGAATAAAAAATGAACACACTGATTATTCAAAACAAAAATGTTATTACTTTCACAGGATATTCCTATGATGTAAAATAAATAACCTAAAAAAATGTTTTCCCCCAGATTCCATAAACAAAACACTGCAAGGTCGCAAACTTTCTTCTACTGAACCACGTCTAGTTGTTTCAGGCACTTCCACTGGAAGTGCCTGAAACACCTCACCTTAAAGGGGCCCTGCAACACTTTTTGAACATGTTCAGAAAACTCTGCCGATCGGTAGTAGAGGCTCCCAACAAAATGCGAGCCAAATGTTATAGCACAGCACGCAGCCTAGAATTCACAATATATTATCAAAGTCAGCTAAAAATTGCTTTCTCTTCTCTCGACAAATGACAGAATGTGCCCAAAAATCACACGTAGCAAGCCCATCTATCAGCCATTGGCGGATTTGAACATGGTGCGCCCGGTCGTTACAGAGATCGCCGCGGGAGGCCGCTACTTGTCCACACGTGCAAGCACGATCACACAGAAAAAGTAGCGCAATCGAAGAAAAAAAAAAGTGCTCAAGGTCACGAGCCGTGGGTGACGTATTTTCCATGCCCCTGCCATCCCTTCCTGCTTAGCTTCCAGCACTTTCGTCAGAATGAGAGACGAGGGAACACAGTGGCAGCATGAAACAAATATTTGTAACTCCAGCCACACTTTACAGATTCTTGAAATTTTTGAGGCGTTGAATTCATAAGGCAGTAAGTTCTTCCAGTGAATTCATTCTATGGTTACTCGAAAAAGTGTTTCAGGGCCCCTTTTATGCTGGGCAAGCCACCAAGCAGCTTTCAAGCATTCTTTCCCATTTTCTTAGTCCTAACAACCTGAAAATATATAAATAAGTGTTACCCACCTAACATTCATAGTAACTTGAGCATAACCAGGAGCACTTGCCTCAGATTATGTTCAAACGCGAAGCTCGTCCTGATATTTACGTTGAGGAGGTCCATGCGGCCCTGCATGACCTCAACAGCCGTTCGGCGGCTGGCCTAGACCTCGTCACGAACAAGGCGCTCAAGAATCTCGACGATGGCTCGATTGAGAACCTAGCAAAATACTTCAACAAGTGCTGGAGAGAGGGCGCACTGCCGAAGCAGTGGAAGACAGCCAAGACCATTCTCATTCCCAAGCCGGGGAAGCCACCTGATATGGACAGCCTCTGGTTCATCTCACTCACATCCCGCATGGGCAAGGTGCTGGAGCACGTCCTTCTCAACAGGTGGCAAGACTACCTGGAAACAGTAACAGTAATCCGGCAACAGTAATCGGTTTCAGACAGCACTTGAGCACTCAGGACGCGATGCTGCAGCTCAAATACCAAATCATCGAAGGTGGCGGCAGCGCCCGCGATAACAAGGCAATCCTGAGGCTCGACCTGCAGAGCGCCTTCGACAAGGTGAAACACTCTGCGATCCTGTCTCAAGTCTCCAGACTCAACATGGGGGAAAGATCTTACAACTATATTAAGAAATTCATCACAGACAGGACTGCCTAGCTGCGAGCAGGCAACCTACAGACGCAAGAGAAGCAGCTTGGGAGCACTGGCACACCGCAGGGGTCAGTAATCTCGACAATGCTGTTTAACCTGGTAATGATCGGAGTGGCAGAGAAGCTCGTGGATATCTAACACGTCAGGCACACCACCTTTGCGGATGATATCACGCTATGGGTGACTGGTGGCAACGACGCCCACATCGAGGGCGCGCTACAAGTCGCTGTTGACGCGATAGAAGACCAGCTGGAAGGCACCAGACTAAAATGTTCGCCGAGCAAATCGGAGCTGCTAGTACTTTCACCGGCCAACAACGGCTGAGGCAAGACCAGACAACGCGAATACGAAAAAATCCGAATCGTTACCAAATCCGGTAACGTGATCTCCAAAGTTGGAAGTTGGTAAAATCAGGATTCTTGGCATGTTCATCGAGAAACAAAAAAAATAGCGACACCATCGCCCGTCTCACGGCCAAGGCGGCCAATGCGATGCGACTCTTTAAACGAGTCGCGTCCTGGGAGGCAGGCATGAGAGAGGGGAGTCTGATCAAGCTTATAAAATCCTTCATCATCAGTCACGTCGTGTATGTTGCAGCCTACCACAGATGGCTGCAACACGAACGCAACAAAATCAATGCCATCATCAGAAGAACGAACAAGACGGCGCTGGGCCTGTTAGAGTCCACGAGCACGACCTACCTCTTACAACTCGGGATACACAACACACTCGAGGAAATAGCCGAAGCGCAACGAACCACTCAAATGGAGCAGTTGTTCACAACCAAAGCTGGTAGGAAGATACTGGAGGATCTGGGAATAGGATGCGTGAGCGAAGCAGAGATGAAGCTCACCGACCCCGAAGAGGTCCGACGCCAGATTAGAACCGACCCCACTCCGAATAACATGAATCCTGAGTACAAGGGAAGAAGAGTGGCAAGGGCCAGGCTATCATTGACCTGCACGCCAACCTGCACGCGAGGTACCTGGACACGGCGCAATACCAACAGAACACATTCGCGGCAGTGGTCATCGAGGCGTCGATCAGCGCAACAAGGACGGCAGCGAGCGCGAAAAATTCCAGAGCGGAACAAGCAGAGGAGGGCCATACCCCTGGCCATCGCCGACACAGCCTGCCACACGGTGCTGAGTGACTCTAGACAGGAGGTGCAAAACTTTGCCAAAAGCCAAATCTGTAGAGAGGCCGAGCGTATATTTTGTGCGGCCAAACTTCAAGACAGAAAAATAAGAATTAAGTGGTTCCCAGCGCACACGGGCATCGCGTAACGGAATGACAACCACAACGAGATAACACACGCAGCGGCGCGAGTGCTAACTAACTGCGCCCCGGCGACAGAACGTCCAACGTGGTTCGAAGCCAAGGACCGCATGACCGACTACGACATCACGCAAGCCTACCACATGGCTCGCAGGCATTTCCCATTTCCGCACCCACGGCTGGGTCGAGCGGAGGCACTACTGCTTAGACAGTTCCAGACCGGATCACTACCAAGCCCGGCACTGATGCACCGCATGTACCCCGAGACATACCCGACCGACAAGTGCAAGGCCTGCCGCAGGGAGACGGCAGATCACACGCACATCTTGCGGGACTGCATCAAACACACAGTAAAAGCAAGATCAAGAACAATCCTGTCGCAGCTTGAGGCGGCCGCGAAGAGCTACGACCAGAAAGAACAGCTCTGGGCCGTTCAGCAGTTCCTCGGGGCGCTCGAAAGGCAAGGACACAGCGAGCAGGCAACGGCGAGCGGAGACCCGCGCCGAGTAACGGCAACACCGAGGATGACGTAGGCCCTTGTCGGGACGCGCGAGCGCCCAACTGCAGGCACAAATAAAGTTTCTCCAATACAATCAAACTATATCTAGGTAAGAAGTCGGCAAGTATGACAGAAACTCGTCTGGCCAGTATGACCTGAAAGTTCTGTGCCATGTTGGAGCCGAAATGTCAAAGTATACTCGTTTTAAAATCATTTGGTTGGTGCCCGTATCCCTTCAATTAGTATATACTTAGGTATACAAAATAGCCCGAGTGATAAAATGCTCCATATCTACCAAACACTGTGCCACTTAGTGTACACAATGGTGACAGAGCAAAAGTATATGATGATATAACAGTGTTCAGGGACATAAGGCAACATTTCAAAATGTATCACATCTCCGCCTACAGTGTCAGATAAGAGCAATAGTGTAGCCACTTTTGGATACCGAGACATTTTTGGTATGTGATGCTGAATCGTTTCTAATTGCAGTGCCCCAAAGAGTTTCATTTCTGTAACCACCTATTTTAATATTGCCTTCATGCAGCATGTTTTAGAAGATATTAAATATGTAATTTATACTGACAATGTTACAACTTAGGCAGCACACAGTGCTGTCCAGGTTTACACACAGTGCCAGCAGATGCATAAAGCCCTTGATTTTCTTCACAAATTCACAAAAGTAGCTAAACTCAAGATATCAAAAGGGAAGACCTGCTATGTGAGATAGTGAATAAAGTCTGCATGCACAAGTAAAGCTCAGGTCATCAGTACCAAGATTGACAACCCTCCAGGTTGTCAATCCTGCAATATGAAATCCACTGCACTGTTCAGGCTTGAAAAATCTTGTCATTATAATTTAAATGTACGTAATATGCAATATTGCATCAAGGTGTGGTGAATTTCATAGAGAGGTAACTTACCAAGTTGCACTCACTCGTACATAAGTATTTAATGACACACACATACAGATGTCAAAGAATTTGTAAGGATGAATGGTGCATGTTTCAGACCAGTTCCACACATTGAAAGTGCTTCAGTGAGCAAGACTCAGAATTTTAAACAGGAATGCTATAAGGGCATCCAAAAGCGATTTCATACAACCTCGATTTCTAAAGTACTTTAAAAGATCCATTTCATTATTATTAAGAAGTGCAACAGACATTATAAAAAAAAAAAAAAAAACAGCAGACTCGTATCAGTAGCAGCCCTTTATTCCTAGCTACGTCACGATTCTTCCCAGGCTACGACAAAGAAGGATCTGCTATTGTGGAGCTACAACTTGACCTCCATGAATGAAACAATACACTTAGGCAAAGCTAAGAACTACTTAAAGCACCAGAGACATATGCCTGGTAACTGAATTTTAGGAAGCCCGACTCTCCTTTGCCATTATAGAATATCTTCACATTTCAGCTATTCAAAGCTATTACATGGTTGGCTCTTAAAATAAATAAATCTCTGCCAGATCAGACTAGGTGTATCACCACCAGAGACACTTTGGCTGTAATTTTTTTTCGTATTATTGATTTTCGCTCTTTCAACCCCCTATTTCCCGACCCCAGTATAGGATCATTACCAGATACTACCTTCTGGTTAACCTACCTGCCTTCCTCTTCTTTCTCTTTCTTGGTGTGCACATGCCAAAATGTTCATAGTTTTCAAAGAACCAAATGTAAAAAACAATATAAGTGCAGTGTACATAGTTCAAGTTTCACCACTACAGGCTGTCAGCTTTTTGTTTCATTTATAACAGAAACTACACAAAGTTGAGCCACCACCAATACTTTGACTAATGTTTGATTGCTAGTGTTGTCCACACATAAATTGACATAAATTTATCTGCTCAGTGCAGTCTCCAAGATGCCTCAAATTAGTGAGGATGTACAAATACTTAAATGGCATTCTCAAGCGATCATAAACATTCAATGGATGCAAGGATGCAAAAAGAATTAGCAATCAAATCTAGCCATCAGAAATTCCCTATTTATGCAAGTGAAGGTCCCCTTGCTTACCTTCTTTCACTTCCTACTATATCTTTCAGCTCCAAAACCGAATGGGCCTTTTCCATGTAGGCAGTCTGTGCATGCGCGCCGACCATGAGATGGTACGCCCTATGATTTTTGGTGACCAAAACGTGATGACACGTGCGGACCAAGAGACATTTGGTGCCACAAACATGCAATTGTTTGCCCCATAGAGAAGCGTAAACGCAGGCCTCCGAGAAGGCCTACCAGCTTTCAGAGGACAACTTCGAAGTTCTAGAGCCACCAGTTTTTATTTCAGTGAGGTCTACTTGGGTTGCTGTTCGGACTAGAAAAAAGCCCATTGCCATAATGTCCTTCATAGCTCTTTTCATCTTCATAACCTTTCTGGAGTACACAAAGTGCTTAAGCATCACTTGGCCCTGTGTTTGTACACATGAAGACACCAAAAGCGGCTGCAGGTGTCCTTTTGTAGTACATACAGCAATTGTTTACTATATGTTAGTACTTAAGTACTAACAATGGTACACAATACTATTCCCATTACAGATAAAGTTTGCGCTAACTAAACTTAATTTGATTGATTTGTGGGGTTTAACGTCCCAAAACCACCATATGATTATGAGAGACGCCGTAGTGGAGGGCTCCGGAAATTTTGACCACCTGGGGTTCTTTAACGTGCACCCAAATCTGAGCACACGGGCCTACGACATTTCCGCCTCCACCGGAAATGCAGCCGGGGTTTGAACCCGCGACCTGCGGGTCAGCAGCCGAGTACCTTAGCCACTAGACCACCGCGGCGGGGCCACTAACTAAACGTAAGAGTTATAAATGGACACACCACTAATACAATTCATAAAGATAATAAGCCTGCTTTTCTTCACACTGTGACCCTCTTAAGCCAAATTATTGCTTTTTTTTTAACATTACAGCTTATATTTTACACACTTGCACTTTTTTCAGCTCATATCTTACACGCCTGCAGAAACTAGTACTAGTGATGGCTGAAGAATAAAGCGACACAAATATTTCCTCCACGCTGTTTTTCTAATACTCGGTACTCGATAAAATTGCCCATGGAGTTCTTTACAAAATTTCACCAAAGTTTAATATCTCACATTACTTCTATTTCATTAGCAACTGCGTTGCAAAGATCCTGGGTCAATATAACTACGGGCTGACGCTCCAGTGATTCTTGTGGACGCAAAACAGTATCGACAGCATGCGCATAACATGCATGCATACAAGAAACGACACGGACAGACGGATTCTCAGTCAGTCCACGTCATCTTTGTAATTATCGGTGCCCTTTTTTGTCTTTTTTGTGCGCTGCAATTCTGGTCTGAAACATGCACTAACCATCATAACTACTTGTTTGACATCGAGTGAGGAACGTGTATGAGAAAAATCAAGGGTAATTTGCGTACCACTGAAGATGGTGTGGCGTTCACAATTCCACCATTTCTGCCAGCGACTCAAAGCCAAATCATCGAACCAATTAGTCGTAAAGCTAACCCACAGAACATGGTCTAAATTGTCAAACTACAACCAAAAACTACAACACAGAAAGCGGTGCATGGTTCCCAAAGACCCACGGAGGAAGGAAAACCCTCCGTGCCAAAGACCCTTTAAAAACTGATGACGATGGTGATGGAGTTGATGCATTCCTGTGGTTTGTTTAGTGAGTCTTTTAACTACTTTCAACGAACATTTGCCCCATATGATTTGCCCTTTCACGACCAATAACTTTCGTTTGTATTTTCTCTCTCTCTCTCATGCCTTGATTGCACAGTTTAAATGGCGCAGAAAAAAATCGCATATTGAATCACGGGTGAATCCATATCTTACTCAATCATGGGACTCAAGTGATGCCTTCGATCATCGAGTTTCATACACATTATTATATAAAACTCCATGACATAGAGGAAGGAAAACTTGCTCCATGAGTGATGCTGTTCTTACATAAGCTCTCCCACAAAGTCCTCTTTTTTTTTATATTCACTGATCTTACTAAAACTTTGAACATGTGTTCTCATTGGTACCGTCGGTACCGTGGTGATATGTGCCAAATTATACAAGCATAACTCATTTAGTTTTTTAAAAACATGTTTTAAAATTGGTGGCTGATTTTAAAATCACATTTTTAAATGAGGACCACCCTGTGTATGTGACGTAAAAGACAACATTTTTTCAAAAGCCCCGCCTTTCCCAGCAGACCGATGCAGCGCGCGCTTTCTGCTACGAGGCGCGACCACAGAACAGTGAACGGAAACTGTACCTTTGTTGGGCTGTTGTATCAAAACAACATGGCAGAGACTGCTGCACCGCGCGGTGCACAAGCCACCCCACACAGAAACGGATGCTGCGCCGCACGGAACTGACGTGTTGCGTTTGCCGGTTAGGCGCTTTATTTGAATAGTCCGGAGTGTCTAGCGGTACGTCTAGACATAACAATAAAAACCGTTAAAATTATGTCCAAACGAAAAAGTGAACAAAAATGCTATTTAGGTTTAGCGTGACAACAATACAAAACCAGCTTGTTTGTCATCTCAAACCGATCGGCAGCTGTGGCGTAGATCAATAAAGAAAGAAAAAAGGCAGCTGTGTCGTAGTTGGTTAAAGCAACACATGAACTGGTGAGGTCGGTGGTTCAAGTCCCATTGCAGTTATCGATGCTTTCTCTTTTTTTTTTTGTTCACGCATGTATTGTTTTAACATTTGCGCCTCCTCATCAGCCCAACTTGCTGCTGGTGGTGGTCCCGTCCACAGGCCCTTTAATATTGGATCTTCGATGACGCTTGCAGGATTGACTATATTTATTATGATAAAGTGTTTTGCGAATTAGTGCTCTTAATCGGCGAGACGCAAAAAGCCACAAAAACTCGAATGCAGCTGGCTGCATTGGTTTTTTCAGCACAGGTGTTAGGAATGTTGATTTCCACGGTTTATCAAAGTCTTGATGACAGAAAGGTGCACTGCAACGTAGTCTTGGGCAACTTTTTTTTATGTCGCTCAGTGTACCATCACCGGACGAGGTAACCGGCAGGCCGCTTTCTTTAAAAATACTGACGTGTCACTGCAATGTTCTCGGCGATCAGCACTTCATAAACAATGCCCAAGGGCAAGTGCCGACGGCGTTAGCCCATCTAACTACTTGTCTGCGTTGCTCAAAAACACGCGCGGCCTGTGACAGCACGGGAGCATTCACGTAGCAACGGATGAGAACAGCCGTCCGTGTTCGCACTTGACAAAACAGACGGCAATGCAGTAGCTCTGGCCTTCGGAGATCACAGGCTTCGCAAGAACATTACAATAAAGTTGTTTCCATCCATCGTATGAACACTTCGCCGACGCACTGGGGTTTCATGCATGTGCGTCCGGTCAGTCACACGTGAACCGTGCGACAGCATTTATTTTATCGTCGACCTTGTCCTTCGCGACAAGCAAAACTCGGCAGCAAGAACACTTTCTCCTTTGACAACACCACGCTTGGCATAGCAATCTAGAAAATGCAGTACGTCCAACGACTGTAATCCGCACATCATACTGAGAAACTTTATGGCGCACACACTCAGATGAAGCTGCGGCGCGGTGGATGGCCGCGCTAGCTCCAACCACCAGGTTCAACTAAGCATCCAGCAATCACATGAAGCAGCGACGACACCCCAGTCCTCCTTGGGAGTGGCCTAGGCCATGGCCACGATTTCATCCGAGTTTTCACCATCAACACATCGCAGGCGGCTACTATCTTGCAGTGTTCACCTTTCGCAGCCGCAACGCCCATGGCGCCCCCTGTATTCAAAATACTTGTAATATGTATTTAAATAACAAACCTGAGCTAATTGACACGTTAAACATTTTTTTAGTAAAAGTTTTGTAGGTTTAACGCAATACGCACGAATAATTGACACATTTAACTAGCTTTAGGTAATAACATTTTAAGTGACGTCACTTTTGTGCGGTGCAGAAGCCACTCGTCACCCCCGGAAAGTCGGGTGACGAGCCACTTCTGTTACAGTGCCTATACTGTACTTCTGTGTGGGGATGGCTTCTGCGCCGCGCAGAAGACGCTGCCAAATAACATGCAAACTAGTAGCGGCAGCGTACTGAACTGCAATATCGCGAGGCGAGATAGCGCTGGTAGTGCTATCATCATCAATAAACAGACGCAATTTTTTTTGTTGCAAGAGGGGGCTCGCAAGTGGTTGGCGCTGCTCGGTGCCTCTGGTTAGAATGCCTCGATGCGCACGCCCCCGCTTAGAGTGGTGTCAGCCTTTGTAAGGGCAGGTGCCGCCTCCTCGGCCTTAGCGGAGGCATGGCCGCCATTTTGACTCCACTCAGTCACTTCTGCGTGTTCGCTGCGCCCGAATAATTGTGCTGGCGTTCGCTTTTCTCCGGTTTAATGCGCTCGCTACCGTCACCGTAGCGGGTATTGCGTGCCGCAGTACACTAATCATTGCAAAAACTCTGGAAGCTGTATCATTTCCTAAGAGACCCGAAATGAAGGCCTTTTCAACAGTGAAAATCAAACATGACAAGTGGCATCCGACAAACAGACCATCCATTCACAGCGTAAGTTTCCAGCCGGTATTCCGCATGCATAATTTGTACCGGCACCAATTTCGTGTAAGCAACAGACACGCTGACGGCTGTATGCTTGATTTTCATATGCATGAATCGCGTATTTCACTTCGTAAACATTGCTTGCTGCTCTTGGTTGGTACTGTATCTGCCCTTCATTCTTGGTTTCACTATGTGCGATGAGAACTTTATTATTAAATATACATTACACGTGTTTCTTTGCAGATGATATCCTTGTTTTTTTCGTAATATTCATTTGTGGGAATAAAGCTTTGCGCAGCGGTGGTGTCGTACCCACTGAAGTTTAAAGAGTGTGTGTACGTTCCGGAATCACCATATGATCACGAGAGACGCGGTATACATTGGAGGACTTCGGAAATTTTGAACAGGTGTTTTTATGTAACTTGCACCTAAGTTTAAGAACTCCAGCATTTCATCTCCATCGAAGTGGGGCCACTGCGGCCGGAATTTGATTACCGACCGTTCGAGCGCCCAAACCATTACAAAGCCACACAGGTTCTTTCTTTCTACGATCTTTTCCTCGGTTTAGGTACGCCTTCTATGCTGGTGTGATGACCCTTGTAAGAATGTGTGCAGTTCAAATTTTTTTCATTGTTCCTGTACTTCAAGTTTTCTTTTCGTCCTGTCTCGAATCATTACGCAATTGATGTTGTTTTTTTAATCATTTACGACCACTGCGAAGCAACTAGTGACAGTACTCAGTGAATTCTACCATGGAGCGTATAATTTGAATTGCTTCTGGCAGCGCTGCATTAATGCACAAAAATAAATTATTTCTACACTGGATGATAATAGGGGAAACGGCAGGCGTGTACACACGCACACACACACACACACCGTCAGTATTTAAACTCTTTCAGTACGCATTATTATTTAAGTAAATAATTTATTTATTAATACTGTGAGCTATCAGGGATCATACGCAAGTGCTTATGCAAACTGTACTCGCGAAGCGTCCATACAAGGAAGATGCATAAAGACAAGACGGGGCAGTGCTGTGTAGAATGAACACGCTATGTCGCAAAAAAAAAACAAAAAAAACAAGTCAAGTTGTGCGATGAGAAGATCGTGGAGAAATAGTTAATGCAATAAGAAAGGCGTCCGCTTCAGTGGTACCGTGGGCACGGTGCTCAGTTGCTGACGCGAGGCTCACGCTTTCGATCTAGGCCACGGCGGTCTCATTTCGAATAACGTAAAACACCACAGGACACCCATGTACTGTGTCAGTGCAGGCAAAAAAAAAACTGATTGTCAAAATTGCTGCAGTCCTGCAATCAGGCGTCATTTTAGAACGTAAAAGCCTCAGATAATAATTAACACTAACAAAGAAAGCATATAAACGACACCACCGGTATTGATTTAGAATCCCCTCTGTGGTAACCGGCGTAGGGATTTGTTTTCAACATAAAAGAGTCAGCGTCTGCCTCTAGCGCATAAATCATGCGCAAGCCGTCAGCTTACATGAAATATGCGCTCCCTGCATGCATTCAGGCAAAATTGACTCTAAAAGATGTCCAAGCTTCAATAAGAAGAAAAGCTCGCTAGCTTGCACATGTTTCCGGGTGTATCAGGGCACCACACCAGCGTTGCGTAGCGGGCTTCGCATACGGTCGAGTTGTGGTGGGGAGGCGCAATGGCGGCGGTCGTAGCAGACGACGCGGCTGTCCTCACCCTCAGCGGAGCGCGCGGGCATCAAGGCACCCTACCTCTGGTATTTTTTTTTTTGCGTTGCTAAATCGCGCTTCGCGTCTTTAATTATCGCCAGGTAACCTAACTGGCCTCGACTGACAAAAACAACGTCAATCAAGTAAGGTTTGCATCGTTTATTGCGAGTGTCCAAGCCGGTACAACCAATGTATACGGTTGGGTCCGAACAAGGCAAGTCACTCATACATATCGAAAGGTTTCAACCCATGTGTAAATACTCTTGAAAGCTAACAAGCATATGCATATAACTTAACATCGAGATCGCTGAATGCACGTCTCTCTCATTGTGTTGCGGCGTTCGAGTTTAATAGCGTGGCTTCAAGACAAGGGTT